AGCGGTCAGACCTCATCGGTGAGTTGGTAGGACATCGGGCCGGAAACCCGATGGTCGCTGGTTCGAATCCGGGTGCGGTGTAAATTTTCATTTCACCTTCAATCATTACCTATTATAAATACTAGTCTACCAGTGATCATAGTCAAGATGATAACATGACAAGTGAGGCAAATGTATCGCTAAGCGAAATTTCTTATTCTGATGAATCACCATGCATTGATTATTAACTTACTTACTCACCGGTTTAACAACATAACAACATCACTTGTCAAATACTTGTGGCTTATTTATTTGATTTATCTTCAGCAACACTTCTATCCGGTAAGACGGTGACTAAATGAGTGGAAATATTGTTCCACGAGTGTGGAACGTTTTCATCAAGCAGGTTAGGCTAGGCCGAATTTGAAAAAAACAATTTAAAAGTCATTATGTATGTTTTTGAGTGATAGAAGTCAAACGGATGTTCTAGAATAGAACTCCTAACACATTTTCCTTCATTTTGTTTAAAGCCAAGCTGGAACATGATCTCGTGTACGTGTAGAAAGTATTCCCTGTTTTGCTATCATAATTATAAGTACTTTTATTATTATTCACGATGTAATATCCCTCACGAGATATAGTTTTTCAAACCCCCTATATGTACGAATGTAGAGTGTAAAAATAAACTTATTGAAAGCATTCTTTCCTCTGAATGTTTTCCTTCTCACTCAATAACTATATAAATTTAAAATCCTTCTCGAATAGACTTCTAGCAAAAGTATGCATTAAACTTAAGAAATCGTTCCAATGTTAAATTTAATGTGGCGGTGAAATTTGAAGTACATACATAAAATTACCTATTGAATTTTAGATTTTTATACTTATCTTCATCATATATATTCGTTATTTGCTTATAATTTCTTTCTTAACGTCAACAAAGGGTTGCAAACTTCACTTGTTTTCATTATTTGATGATTCTCATCGATTGGTTTCTTTTCATGTCCAATTTCTGCTTTAAAACCCTTCGTTAAAAATATGGATGAAGCTTATGCGCATAATATAATCCAACTCTTACATTTCTTAGATTTTGACAATTTCATTGCAGAATATATCTCTCTCATCTAGGACTATAATTTAAAATGCTTCAATCTCATGCGTTATTCAGGTAGGCACAAACAATGATGAGAAGAGTTTCTTCAAAGTGTGCTACCTAATCACATACTCATGTAGCAAATACTCGCCTACTTCTTTAATCAGTTCCACTATGCAAGCAGTAAATTAGACAGAAAGTTCACTTCAGAAATAACCCAACATATGAACTAGCAAAATACTTAGCATCAATATTATGCCCTATTAGGAAACGTTCAAATTCCAGACTACTCAATTCCTACACGTTGAAACTAAGGCTAATCACCTACACATAGACGAGGGGGAAAAAGTGGTTAGTTTCGAGGTAACAAGTCTTTATATGAAAATACCAATCAATATGGCACTGGAGACAGTCTGAAATCAACTAAGTACTGACTCAGAACTTACTCACAGAACTAAGATATCGTTGATGTGACCATATTAGGTGTACAGTTGTGCATGACCTCCACACTTTCAACTTTCAGGACAAAATGTACAGACAAGTGGAGGCAGTAGCAGTCAAATAGTCAATATTGTCAATCGTAGAAGATATACTTACGGATAGTTGAGAAAACATGCTGTAACAAAACGTTTAATCATGCACCTGAGATATGATGGCGATATGAGGATGACGCATTTACTGTGTTCAAATCGGAACATATCGAAAGTTTCCTTACACACATTCACTCACTAGTGGACGCAATGCAATTCACTTACCAGGTAGAAGTCAACAAGGAGAATTACTAATGTCGAATTGCAGAATAAAACGAAGGATAGACAGTGGTTTGGATACTACCGTCTACACAAAACTAACATACTCCAACAGTCATCTAGACTTCAAGTCATCTCATTCAATGTCATTCAGTGAAGACACGTTTAGTCAAATGTCTAAGGAATAGAGCTAGAAAACTCAGTAGTCAGTGCAAGGACCTAAACAAGGAAATGAAGCATGTAAAAGAAGCGCTAATTATTGATAATTATCCTCTTCAGTTTATTTACAAATTCATACGAACACACAAGAAACGCAGTAGTAACGGTATCACAAGTATGGATAATAACGACAACAACAACAACAACACAAGTAGAAAGGAGTTCAAAGCCTCTATTCCATTACCCTATGAGGAAGGTACTTCAGAAACTTCACATAGGATTCTAAACAAAACTGGAATTAGGGTGGCATCTAAACCTACCCACAAACTCACTCAGAGATAAGCTTTGTCGGATGGCTTCAGGATCCACAAGAAGCAATTTAGCAAAATAATCTAATCTTCCGAATCCCATGCAATGATTGTGAGGTCAAGTACATAGATCAATCAAACTAGCCGATCGGGGTCAGTTAGATCAGCGGAACATTAGAATTCAGCCAAGTCTAAAATGACAAACTCAAAATAAGATGCATAATCTAGAAAAGAACTCGACTATCGCAATGTATGCACTAACACACAACCACACAATGGGGGGAGGGGTGAATGAGACCACTGTACTTAAGTAGAGATAGAGAGGGGAGAGAGAGAGATTACTGAATAATCTTTGTTCGTTGAATCAACACAACACCCAACTCAACACATGTCATAGGAATGATTGGACACGTATGCCAGAGATATGGGAAACTTAACTACCAATCAAAACAAAGAATACGAGGTGATAGGACAATGATAGTCAGATATCGAAAGGAGTATGATTCAATTTGGTATGATTATGAGCAATGATAATTTATGCTTGAAGTGTCGTCACCAAGTAAATAATACTGTATCACTATGCACTACATGTGTCAAATAAACGAATCTCTTATGGAATTTTAAAATCACTTTATAACTGATGAAATGAAACTTTTTCTCGGTTAGTTTTATAACATTTTGGCGAAGTTTCAGACATTATCTTTCTTCCACTTAGCATAGATTCTTTTCATTTTGACTGTCTATGTGTGACCATAATATTAGTCACGACTTAACTTTTCAAGAATATTTTCCATATATTTAATTTTCATAGCCATTTTGTTTTATTTAAACAATATGGTGAATGGAATTGCCGATTAACTGTGTAATTCAAATAATAAGCAATAACACATAAACAACACTCCTGTTTTCACTTCACCTGATATCTCCAATACCTATCCCTTGAAGCAGTAAGGAATATATGACCTTTTTTTACTAAATAACGAAATGTGTTCTGTTAGTAGTTTATTGTGGGATTTCTGCCAATTGATTGGTTACAAATTAGGAACTATTGTTATGCATCCATAACACTGTGTCCCACAAGAATCGATACTGACTACTGAAAAGACAAAAGATTATATTGGTAAGGCAAGATTTATTCCTTTAGGGAATATTGAAAATTAGCAATAACTGAAGGATGGTCACTCGTGACTGGAATAGCTGAGTAGTAACTTCTTTGACTACAGTATTGGGTGATGTAGGTTTGAATCTCAGGCGAAACATCACTTTCGTAGTGGTTACATATACGCCTTACTTAACAAGTACCAAAAAGCATGAAGACTTGATCAAACGAGGTTTCCTATCGATTACTGTGGTTCATATTTTGGGCCAATCAGCTGGGTTTTTTTTTGCCCGCTATAACATCGCGGTTATCCAGTTCAAGTGGTGTATATTGGTAAATGTGAACGCATAATTTATCATTGTTTCTTTTCAAAAAAGATGTAATAATATATGCTATTTATCATGTTCTTACCTACCGGAACAGTTCACTACTGTCAGATGTGTATCATCAAATTCACCATCTGCTCTATTTGTTTAGGATATATTTGAGTTATTGTTACTAACAATTTAAATATTTATTAATTAAAAATTTCAGTTTATTTACTTTTTTAATAATGATAATAATGGTGATCTTTCAAAAATTCTGAATATAATAACAATAATAATAATAACTTTATACAATATATTATGTGATAAAGTGAGGTAGCCCAGAGTTCAAGCAGACCGCCATCATCCATTGATGATTATTGCTATGCAATACACTACACTGGAGTACAAAAGTATGAATTTAATTGTAATTTAGGATTTTAGGTGTAATCTACTTCTAAGAAGGTCATATTTGAGATATTTAATCTAATTACTGGAAATATCATGTGTCATATTTAGCTTTAATATGCTTATCAAAGTCTTTCATTTAACAATACTTGCTTATTTTATCATAACAATAATTATTATTATTACCATTTAACAAGAGGAATGTATAATAAACTTGCGCATTTCACGCTAAGAGAACTAAAATATGAGAACACTGTTAACAAGATCGATAATAGTTCTTTGATGAAAACTCTGTTTATAATCATCCTCATCCATTATAAAGTGGCGATTATAGCTGAGACGAGAATTTTGTTCATGACGGGACTCGAGCCACTAACCTTCAGGTTCCTGTAGGTTACAAGACCTGGTTTTTGACCAGGTTTTTATGTTTACTTATACTGTGATTGAGATGGAATACACACTTGGTCAGCAGATGGAAAATACTACTAATTCAGTAGATTGCCAGACCAAGGCGTCTGGTTAAATCCTTTCATAACTCGGTTTTTGTCGAACCTTCAGTTGCTACCCTTTATCATAAAGGTGAGTCTGCCTAGCCAAGGCTATCTCAAGTAGTCTCATTAATATTCATTCACAACTGTTAAAGTTTTAGGCCTCAAACTTTACCTTTGTTTTACTTTATATTAAGAAGTATTGTGTGGTTTGATAATTGATTGATTATTTAACATAATAAAAGTCATTATAGGGTTGTTCATCACCTATTTGACGTAATTAATTCGATATTCACAATTGTTTAGTCACGTCTAATTCTTGATTTAACTTTCATTGATTTATTTATCAGTAAATTTCTATTATCTGTAAATTTATGCCCCTAATAAAATGTATTCTGCATTTTCATTAATTTAGATGTCGAAAACCATAGAGGTCAATCTGAGGAAAGCTCACTTATCAGACAAAGTGAGTAAATTGCTTGTAATCTTGTTATCTTTGTAAAACCAAGGATTTCTATCTTATTTAGTTCACAAAAACATTCTACATGACTGGAAACAATTGAATAACTTTAATATAAATGTGAAACTTAGGCACCGTGGTACAGTCTAATTCCGTATGAGATTTGTTTATTTGATTTATAACATACAGTGATACAGTATTATTTACTTGGTGACGACACTTCAAGCATAAATTATCATTGCTCATAATCATACCAAATTGAATCATACTCCTTTCGATATCTGACTATCATAGTCCTATCACCTCGTATTCTTTGTTTCGATTAGTAGTTAAGTTTCCCATATCTCTGGCATACGTGTCCAATCATTCCTATGACATGTGTTGAGTTGGGTGTTGTGTTGATTCAACGAACAAAGATTATTCAGTAATCTCTCTCTCTCTCTCTCTACTTAAGTACAGTGGTCTCATTCACCCCTCCCCCCATTGTGTGGTTGTGTGTTAGTGCATACATTGCGATAGTCGAGTTCTTTTCTAGATTATGCATCTTATTTTGAGTTGTCATTTTAGACTTGGCTGAATTCTAATGTTCCGCTGATCTAACTGACCCCGATCGGCTAGTTTGATTGATCTATGTACTTGACCTCACAATCATTGCATGGGATTCGGAAGATTAGATTATTTTGCTGAATTGCTTCTTGTGGATCCTGAAGCCATCCGACAAAGCTTATCTCTGAGTGAGTTTGTGGGTAGGTTTAGATGCCACCCTAATTCCAGTTTTGTTTAGAATCCTATGTGAAGTTTCTGAAGTACCTTCCTCATAGGGTAATGGAATAGAGGCTTTGAACTCCTTTCTACTTGTGTTGTTGTTGTTGTTGTCGTTATTATCCATACTTGTGATACCGTTACTACTGCGTTTCTTGTGTGTTCGTATGAATTTGTAAATAAACTGAAGAGGATAATTATCAATAATTAGCGCTTCTTTTACGTGCTTCATTTCCTTGTTTAGGTCCTTGCACTGACTACTGAGTTTTCTAGCTCTATTCCTTAGACATTTGACTAAACGTGTCTTCACTGAATGACATTGAATGAGATGACTTGAAGTCTAGATGACTGTTGGAGTATGTTAGTTTTGTGTAGACGGTAGTATCCAAACCACTGTCTATCCTTCGTTTTATTCTGCAATTCGACATTAGTAATTCTCCTTGTTGACTTCTACCTGGTAAGTGAATTGCATTGCGTCCACTAGTGAGTGAATGTGTGTAAGGAAACTTTCGATATGTTCCGATTTGAACACAGTAAATGCGTCATCCTCATATCGCCATCATATCTCAGGTGCATGATTAAACGTTTTGTTACAGCATGTTTTCTCAACTATCCGTAAGTATATCTTCTACGATTGACAATATTGACTATTTGACTGCTACTGCCTCCACTTGTCTGTACATTTTGTCCTGAAAGTTGAAGAGTGTGGAGGTCATGCACAACTGTACACCTAATATGTTCTCATCAACCGATATCTTAGTTCCGTGAGTAAGTTCTGAGTCAGTACTTAGTTGATTTCAGACTGTCTCCAGTGCCATATTGATTGGTATTTTCATATAAAGACTTGTTACCTCGAAACTAACCACTTTTTCACCCTCGTCTATGTGTAGGTGATTAGGCCTTAGTTTCAACGTGTAGGAATTGAGTAGTCTGGAATTTGAACGTTTCCTAATAGGGCATAATATTGATGCTAAGTATTTTGCTAGTTCATATTTTGGGTTATTTCTTAAGTTAACGGTGTCTCTGATGGGACAACCTGGTTTTGTGCCCTAATGATGACAGAACTCCTTCTATGATTCTTTATTTTAGGCTTTAAAGTATACCATTTAGACCCACTTAGAAATGGCTTTAATTGGCATGTCATATGGGCTGTAGAATTCGTAATATTATTCATCGCCGCATCTAAATGCTTGTTGATTTTATGTGGTCTTGTTTAGGTATGTTTTTGATTTTTACTGATGGAATCCAATTTGTCGATAACTTCTTTTGGATAACCTTTGTTCGACTTCACAATTACTATATTCTGGTCATTCCGGTAATTATTCACAGCTGAATTTTCTGGTTTCTTGAGTATGTCTGTCTCGTATTTTGTCTTTTCAGTGTTGACGCATGCTGTGCTGTGACCTCTTTAGCTGTTGCTGCATCCACCGAGCTTAACGTTATTTCCATACTAAGTGTGAATAGCTTGGTATATTAGATGTCTGACATTATATTTTGACTACTTTTAGCTGCCCTTCTGACAATCTATACATTTAGCTGTTTCAAGGTGAAATAAAACAAAATTTGAAATGTCGTTTCTTTCAATAAACAACCATTTTAAGTCATTCCCTCATTTGAAGACATTTAAAAAGGAATATTATTGGGGTTTTTGGGTAAAAATATGGTGAAGAGTGTTAATTTCCAAACAAATGTTTACTTGGTTTTAGTTGATTATTAGGTGTGACAACGGTTGTGAGTCATATGTGTAAACATCTGACTGATAAGTTTGACGTTATAGGGTCGAAACTTGTTTTTCCTTGTTTCCATGTGATCTGTCATAATAGACTCAATATGTACTGACCTAAAAAATTGTAGGCTTTTTCACCGATTTAGCTGGTATTCATCATAACAAGTGGAACTGATTTTTGTTGAAAAAGGACTCCAGAAACGAATCAATGTATGATGTTATCTACTTACGAAGGATTAACAATGGAGTTCAGGACATGCGTTTCTTTCTATCTTCTATTCGACGCTAGAATGTACCTGTATCTTGGTGAGTGGCAGTGTTCTCACAGAGAGTCGAACTCACTTCGCATCATTTCAAACATCAGAGCGTTATCCATTAGGCTACTGAGTCACCGAAACCACCTCTGGTGACTCAAGTGTAGTTTTCAACCTACAGATGCTTGTATTCCCCCGTTGATTATTATACTTAAATGAATCGATCGGTTACTCTTTGCACATTGTTTTCTTGAATGAATGCCTAAGTTCCATTCTTTTGCCATTTGCTTGTTGCTGGATGTTTGTTTCGTCCTGTTTGGAACTCGTCAGCTGGTCGTATTAGTAATTTTTCCTTTCGTCTCATGATTCGCATAAGTGTGAATATCACATGCATGTTGTAAGAGGTAAGATAAAGTAAAAAAATGTCCACTTTTGTCGTAATTAGGGGTTCTGAGGAGGAATTGGAATGTGTTTCTAAGGCATGAATTTAGTCAATCATTCGCAACAGTGTAGCATTCACAGAATCTCACCTTAACTGATATATTTTTGCATAACTAGCGTAAACAACATGGTAGTTTGTAATAAGCTCTCAAATGCAATATAGCATGTTCCAAAAATCTACCTACTTTCATATTTCGTTGCTCATAAGGTCACTTTACACATCGATTATTATCTTCTGATTTGGTCTAGATAACTTTCAGAGTGTTTCAGGAAACTGAAGAAGTTCATTTGAGATACACTACTACTATTGTTTTTTATTTTTGCCACTCGGGGCTTTAGACATAATTCCTTTATATATTCATCACTGAATGACCTAAAGTTTCACTAGTAACGTTCTTAAGATTTTTAATAATACAATATTGTTATCAGTCTGATATTCATCATGATCTGACAGAGATTTTTTAGTGCATAGAGAGAACCGTTACCAATATATCTAGGCCCATGGTTGTAAAAATGTATTTTCTGTGTATCCTTCACTGACTGAATTATTAAAATTCTCCAATCGTGCATTATGTAATAATTTTTATAAGATGAGCCATTAAACTGTCAATTTTGTTCATTAATTTTTATCTCAGTTGATAATTGACAGTACATTTACAGTTGAAAATGCCTGAAAGAACTTTTTGTGGTAGAACCTTGTAAATGTTTATTCTTTGTTACCTCTAGTTGTTATTCATCGTAGACTGACATCAGTTGGAGGAACAAAGGAAAGGTGGGAGTACTGGACAGCTGCTTCGTCCTAGTATGGGACTCTTCAGCAGTGCGCACCCACGACCCCGCCAGGGGTCGAACCCGGACCTTCAGGTTCCGTGACCAGCACATTACCATTGAGCCACTGGGTAAAAATACAATGGTCCATATTTCCAGCTTCTGTTAGCTCACGATATAGCTCAACCACCACCGAATGTCATCGTTGAGTAACTGTCCTCACGGTCATCAGGCTTTGCTGAAGAGTCCCATTCTAGGACGAAACAGCTGTCCAGTACTCCCACCTTTCCTTTGTTCCTCCAACTGATGTCAGTCTACGATGAATAACAAATTGAAATATTTCCCAGTTCCCACAACTCCCTCAAAATTCGATTTGTTTCTACCTTTGAAAGATCAAGGATCTATAATGAGTCAAGAGGATGGTTAGTGCTTCCTTAAATTTAAGTTACTTCATGACTTTAAAATGTTCAAGATGTATTGAACAGATAGTGTTTTAATCAGTGTGTTTAAATTTTCATCAATTCGTTTTAAATACTCCTTGAAATAAGTTTCCATCTAAAGTGTACTGTTTGATTCATGTTGCAATTTAAAAGATGGTAGCCAAATACACATGCTTGGGGAGATAATAAACATCACTTTGTTTGTTATTTTGAATAATTTGGCAAAATTTGATGTATTATCTGTAGATCATTCTTATGTTTAGTCAAAAGTTGAACAGGAATTGTAGACATTAATGATGGAATATAGCTAGAAGTGAAATTTAGAACATACTTTTCGTCCTATTCGAGACTCGTCATCCAAATGTACCTGCCTCCTAATGACTATCGTTCTCACTAGGACTCGAACCCAGGGAGGGAAGTACTTCGAATGCCAGAGTGTTATCCACTTAAGGGACCACTGAGATTGTAGATTTTTAAATTCCTGTCTATTCTTTTTAAATTTATTCATTTTCATTATTATAGAATCGCTTTATTTTAAAGCATATATGAAAATAACATTTGTCGCATGGCCATGTATAACTACTTAAACACAATTACAAAACATTCAATAGCTAT